GGGAATTTTTCAACTTATTACCAGCTACAATGATTTCTCCAATCAAAATTCCACCTCCAGCAACACCTCTCTGAACATCCCTCATGATTCAAATGTAGACTTACAAAGTTATAAATCTTTGGAATCGGATGTAGAAAACAATTATGAGGGTGAACAAGTTGAACATAACCTTTCACATTGTGTTATAGCCGTGATGCCTTGATAAGCTTCCCAACCAATACTGTTTTCCAGCCCTAACACAAACCAGTGACATGCTGAACAGCAGAGGTAGCCATTTCAACAACAGAGATCTGGGGGATTTATGCAACCACTTCTGAAAGAGAAACATATTTTAATTTTCCCAGACAAAAGCTTGGAGAAAAGCAAGGCAGACATTGTCTATCCCCTAATATTAAGCTGTAACAGAAGGCAGCTTGTGCAGTGATACACAAGGCTATTTCTCAATGTGCTTAACTCCGCTACACATTTTATTTATAGGCCCTGAGACTTTCTGGCGTCTACCTTGTTTGCCTGGGCCAAAGTTCAACACACTTGTTTAAAACATGCTTTATTGAGGCCATGCACTGGAATAAGTGGAAGCTGAGCAACAACCTGCCAGCTACATGTTTCCTAGAGTATGTGACATTAAATCTGTATTTATGCTTATTTTCCTGAGCACTAACAGTACAATAGTGTATATGCGTAAGTTTTTATCCTGAGGGTGTACAATAATGCAAACACACACACCAGGTTCTGAATTTTGGCTTTGCCTGGATTGCACCCAGTCTTAACAAGAAAGTGCCAGATTCAGGGTTTTGCAGTGCCAGAGCATTTAATTATATGTATGCAAATGTATGTATATGCACTTTATCTATGCTTCTTTGCCCCAGAGATCCTAGGGGCAGACCCAGTTGAAACTTGAAAGCTGGACAGCACCTAGTGAAACATAATGTAAAGAAGTCTGCTAGCTCCTTCCATGACTGTGACTCCATGGCTTAAGATCCAGCCTGATTAATAGTTCTGGAGAACTCAAAAGCTTTTTTCCCTGTTCTGCACCATTTGGTTGGTCCAAATGGTATTGGTAGGGTGTGGAATTTGGATTTTCCCTCATAAACCAACAGCTTCATTTGCTTTTTATAACTACATATGTCTTTATATAATGCTTTTTACTCAGTGTTTACCAAGGAGCCTATTTGGAGTACCGTATTTTTCGCACCATAGGACGCACTTTTTCCCCTCCAAAAATGAAGGGGAAATGTGTGTGCGTCCTATGGTGCGAATGCAGGATTTCGCTGAAGCCTGGAGAGTGAGAGGGGTCGGTGCGCACCGACCCCTCACGCTCTCCAGGCTTTGCACACCTCTCCGCAAGCAGCGGGAGCCCAGCGCTGGGCTCCCGCTGCTTGCGGAGACTTGCCTGCATGCCGAAGCATGCGCGCGCTGAGATCAGCGCGCCCAGGCTTCGCGGACCTCTCCGCAAGCAGCGGGAGCGCTCCCGTTGCTTGCGGAGATTTGCCAGCATGCCGAAGCCTGCGCGTGCTGAGATCAGCGCACCCAGGCTTCGCGGACCTCTCCGCAAGCAGCGGGAGCGCTCCCGCTGCTTGCAGAGACTTGCCTGCATGCCGAAGCCTGCGCGCGCTGAGCTCAGCGCGCCCAGGCTTCGCGGACCTCTCCGCAAGCAGCGGGAGCGCTCCCGCTGCTTGTGGAGAGTTGCCAGCATGCCGAAGCCTGCGCGCGATGAGATCAGCGCGCCCAGGCTTCGCGGACCTCTCCGCAAGCAGCGGGAGCGCTCCCACGGCTTGCAGAGAGCTGCCTGTTTGGGGGCTGGGGTCAGGGGAAGCTCGAGCTTCCCCCACCCCAGCCCCGCGCCTGGGGGGAAATAATTTTTTCCCCTTTATTTCCCCCCAAAAAAACTGGGTGCGCCCTATGGTCCGGTGCGCCCTATGGTGCGAAAAATACGGTACATGTCAGTTGCATGGAAAAGCACAAACATAGTTCTGCTCAAAAAAACGACGATTGAAAAAGTTCTCAAGAATACAGGATGGCGTTACAAGCCTTGATATCTTACACTTCTTCAAATTTTCTGATGCATTTTCAACTCAATGTATCAAATAAATGGGATGTATCAAAATAGGTATTCAAGCCGCCCTTGAAAAGGATAAAAGAACCAAAGGATTTGACAAAAAAAATATCCTATCTGGAGAAGGATATTTTATATAATAATCAAAAGATACTTTCTAAAATGTACAAACTACTTTTGAATTGGCAAAGAAAGGAGGAAGATATCAAAGAAATTACAGTAAAATGGGAGAGGGACCTGGGACATACGATCAAACCCAATATTTGGAATGAATTATGGACTAAAAATATAAAATTCATGGGAAAATCTTATGAAAATGTACTATAGGTGGTACCTGACCCCTGTAAAACTTGCAAAAATAAATAAATCAAACAATAACAAGTGCTGGCGATGTAAGGAACAGATAGGAACATACTACCATATGTGGTGGTCCTGTCTAGAGACACAAAGATTTTGGAACATGATTTATGAAGAGATAAAGAGATTGATAAAAACTACATTTAGCAAGAAACCGGAAGAATTTTTACTACGAATGGTTTCAGATAATATTCCCAAAAACAAAACTAGGCTATTTATGTATGCAACGTCAGCAGCAAGGGTTATAGTGGCAAAACACTGGAAAGATAAAAATACACCCACTAAAGAGGAATGGGTAGTCAAATTGTGCGAGTACTTGGAGCTCGCAAAGCTGACAGATGCAATAAGAGATAAACCTAAAAAATTGTGAAAGAAGAATGGGAATGTTTAAATAATTATTTAGGAGACAAGGGCTCAGCAAGAAAGATCTGGCTATGTTTAGAATGATGCCGCATAGAGCAATGTTCCCTGATACCAAGATGGGGGATTCCTTTGGAATGCAGATAGAGATAATTGATAAGAATAATGATCTGTTGTGAGCTTGACGGAAGTGTACAATAGATTAGCCTTCCTGCTTTGGCTCATCTTCCTTTTTCTCTTTTTTTCTATTTTTCTTTTTTCTTTTCTTTTATCCTTTCCACAGTTGTTTATTTTCTTTGTCATGTACTTTGTTATTTTCTGTAGTTTTTAAAGTTTTTCCCCCATTACTATTAAGGAATTTTCCTTTGTAATTTTGGTTGTCTATATTTATATGTACCTGTTTAAAGCAAAATAAAAGTTTTTTTAAAAAATAGGTATTCAAAAAGTAGTTTAGGGTAAAATAAGTTTAGAAATGTGTCTACCAAGATTAAACACATATTTAAATTTATATTTTGTGATAAACTATGGACTTGGCTACACTGGTAAAGAAAAAACGATTTATATGTGTTGTATATGCGATATAACATTGTGCCACCAGAGTCCCGTTTTTCTCTACCTGCTTTCCCTGTTTAAATTTACAACACGTTTAACTCAAACACTTCTTTGATGTGCCTAGATCCTGCCTGTTAAACAGGAATTTTGTACGGTTTCTGTTTTTATTTTAGAGTCACATATTAATGCAGAAATGGAATGGAACAGAGCCATCGAAGGTGTCAGAACCACATCAGGAACGGTAAGCTCTGCTTTCGTTCCACAGTACATGTGTGGTACTGATCCCCCCTCCCTTAAAATAGATATATTCCTGCTTCCAAACTTTTTTTCTTAACAGAGGGGGCTTCAAACACAATGGTTTTCTAAGTACTTAAACTATGGAACAAAGGGTAAGAACTCTTTAATGAAATTCACAAGCCCCAAATCCACTCAGTTTTAGCCAAATGACACCTTTCCATAACTTTTTAAACATTAGATAAGGTGGCCAGCCCATCTCTGCTTCTCAAGGCAAAGTGGCTTAAAAATGGAAGCAGGAAGAACTACCGACTCTGGAGGAATGGAGAATGAAGTTAACGGACTATGCAGAACTGGACAAACTAACTGGAAAAATAAGATATCAACGAGATCACAAGTTCATTGAGGACTGGGGAAAATTTTCAGAGTATTTCAGAGTATTTGAAGAGTGTATGTGATGAGCAAACAACGCTAGTGGGTTTTAAAGAAGCTTTGTGAAAAAATGAGGAATATTGCAAGAATGCAAATATGTTTGTAAAGGTATCTTAAAAGGCGATACTAAATTTGGGGAATGCGTAGATAAAAATTTAAATACGGATGATTGTCAGAGAAGCTGAGGGAAGTCCAAAAGATGAAAATATGTTATTTGGGAAATTGTTTGATTGGCGATATTTGTGTAAAACTTAATAAAAATTTATTTTAAAAAAAAACCCAAGGCAAAGTGGCTTACAGAAATATAACCTTAAAAAAACCCCTTTTTAAAAAAATTACAAAAAGTGAGAATAAATGAGATTCACAATAGAAACAACATAATATTCCAACCTCCATCCAGCTAGCGCAAAGGCCAATTAAAGGAAATGAGTCTTTCCCAAAAGGCCTGAAGTGTATCTGCCTGTTGAAGCTCTACTGGGAAAGAGTTCCAAAGGCTCTGAGGAAAAGGCCCTCTCTCCCACGATACCCCACCTCCCAGACCTAGGAGATAGACACACTGAGAGGGCCTCCAACTGGGATTTCAGTGTGTGGGTGGGATGGTTCAGCAGTAGGTGGCCTGTCGGATTACTTGGGCTCAGACTGGTTAGGACTTTAAAGGTTAAAAACCAGCACTTTCAGTTGGACCAAGAAACATACTGGAAGCCAGAGTAGCTGGTATAATACAAGTGCTATTGAAGCTATACAGATTTCAATAGTTATCATATTAATTACATTGGAGTATGTGTGAAGAAAAGGTCCCTGTGAAACATGACCAAATTTATTTTATTTGTTTCTATGCCATCATGATCCCAATTACTTACAGATACTGGAGTGCAATTATATCATGGTATATTATACTATAATCAGATAATTATACTTCTAAGAATGGGGTTTTCCATGTTTCCTCCCATCGTATAATTTTCCCTATGAAACAAAATCTTATCGGTGATAAAAGGCACACAGCTCGTACCTCATTGCACTTGCTTATTCGCCTTGCCACAATGAGCTGAATCATTCCACGCTTGTTTCCCTCTGTGGACATGGACCTTCGCAGGGTTTCCATGGCATCTTGGTTCGTTTTGCCCAATAACGATTCTCCATTTACTGCTATTAGCTGATCATTCACTCGGAGTCTTCCATCCTGGCAAGGGAATAATGTTCACGTTAGGAAAAAATAAAGGACCTTTCCGACATCTTTTAGCTAGGAAGAAAAATCTTAATCCTGAGCGTTTATGGTTAAGCGAACACAACTATAATGACTTTTGAAGAAATCACTACAGACATATCGCTCCCAATTATATACATATTTGAACTTCACATCATTATCATAATCTGTTTATGTAAACAGCATACTAAGTGAAATGTGCTTTTAAGAGTTGTTCCCGTCTTTCCTCCCTGAGCCCCTGAAAGTAATCCCCAAGCCATACTAGTTACAATAAAATTATACAGCATTGTTAACATAGCTCCGCTGAACATTGGGACCTTCCTCTCGTCATATTACAACATTCAATATTCTTATGAGATGTGGCATCGTGCATTTATATGTGAATAATCCCATCTATAACAGAGTCCAAGGAGTATGTCATCACTTTTGGCTCCTCTGTCCCTGGGGCCAGAAAAGGCAGAAAAAGAGCTTTCTCCCGGGCCTCACTATGGACTTCTTTTCCAATTTGGTTTCTTCCATGGTTTGAAAGCAAATGCAATTCATGTGAGGAAGGGCTGTGAGCATCTGCTTTGGATGCAGGAGGATCCAAGCTCAATCCTTGGCATCTCCAGGTAGGCTTGGGGATGTCTTCTGTCTGAAACTCTGGAGAGCTGCTGCCAATCAGTATGGACAATACTGAGCCAGAAGGACCAATGGTCTAACTCCATATAAGGCAACACCATGTGGTCATATAAGAGCAAAACACTTGTTGGTCTCTCTAGTCTTGGCAAAAAGGAGAGGGTACTCACATCACTGCCATATGTCCGACTCATATCATTCATTCCCACCTCTTTCAGGTCTATTGTGTAACTAGGTGGGTGCTACAGGCAATGACCACTCTATGGTTCAGATAGCTTGTGCTGCTAAATCTGCATGGCCAGGCAGAAGACCTCCAAGAATACTGAACCCAGGATTGTAGATGTTCCTCCTGATCGGCCCACAGGAGTCCTAGGAAACTTGCTGAGGGGCAGGTCTGGTCGGCTGCAAAATCTCCCACTGACCACACCATTGTTTTGTTGAACATTTTATAAGTTTTCAAAATAGGCAGGTCTGGAACTTTGCACATAAAAAAATAATGTTTTGTTTTCTTTAATAGTGTCTTGCTGTTTCATTGGTGATCAAGGTGGAAACTGTAGATGTTCCGTAGCAATAAAATATAAAATGATGAAATATACTTATGATTCAAAGGAAAAATCAACAAAGAATTGGAAAACATGTTAAAGAAAATAAATAATGGAAAGTTACCAGGTCCTTTAAAAATGCTAATTATTTATCCACTTACCTTAGAAGCTGCTCCACCATTAATGATGGACTTGACAAAGATGCCCAGGTCTGCGTGGTTCTCTTTTGACCGGTTACCTTTCACGCTAACACCAAGCCCAGCTGATCCAGAATCATTAAGGGGAACTTCAAAGGTGAGGAATTCCCTGGTGCCATCAGGGGTAAGGACAAGATCTTCTTCTTCTGCTTTCTGTCAGGAAAAGATTAGCCATGGCATTATTTAAAAGCATTTCTTCTTTGTAATTATCTTCTAACTACAGCTATTAATTTTTCTTAAACATGTATGAGCTACAATACTGTGAACATTCCTATTGAAATTCTATGCAGAAATCTGTGATAATAGTGCATCTGGCAACACCTAATAATTCCTACTAACAGTTGTTGTGCATGTGTGCACATGCATGTGTGTGTGTGAGAGAGAGAATGAGAAAAAGGGAGAAAGAATGTGTGTGTGCATTCTGAATTAATACAATACAATACTTTCTGAATTAATACAAATTTGAACCATTCCATTTCCAAACAGGAAATAATTATTGGCGGCATGAAAAACCAACACATTTTCTGTTGCAAGTTCATTTGCCCTTCCAAATAATGACATTTGAATATTTATGTATTCTGAGCAGCAAGAAGGATACAAACAGCAGGCAAATAGATAAATACCCATTAGTCATGTGCTCCATTTTTCTTTTGCAGTTGGGATTATTAATAATGTTCAAAGAAATGTCATATAAAACATTACAGATGAGATCAGGTAACGGTAAGCCTCTTTGCTCTTGGGTGCCAGAAAAGTCATATGGGGCACAGCTGTGAATACTAAAAAAAAATATATCTTCAACATTTCACATCTGTTCTACTTTCACACTCCTACCTTTGCTGCTCACAGTACACTGCCTGACTCCAAATAAATAGCAATGATGGTGGCTTGCTGACATAAAAAGAGTGAGTGGTTGATGCTTAGTAGAATTCAGAGATAGAAATAAAATACGTTGTTGTTGTTTTTGCTAGATTAAAATTAAAAACTATATCTTGCCATTTTGTGATTATAAATTTGCTTGGTCACTTGTGGTAACCATTTGCTTTAGGTATGCTGCTCTAATTACTGGAAGCTCCGTCTCCTGCTAGAAGATGGAGACAGAGCGCAGATTCAGACTCCATAATGCTACCCATATTTATTGAGTGTAGTGTGCCTTGTGGGAGATTTTTCAGTCAAATCCAACCATGCATAACCATGCTAGTTAGTAGATGAAGGGGTTAAGGACCACAAAGGAGTACATTTCTAGAGAAGCTGTAAAGGGGAGGGGTAATACCTCTGATGGGGAACATGTTGTGCTTTCTAGTTTGTCCACCCTGCACTCAGCTCTCACCTGCGGCTCCTAGAAACTGTCTGCATACAACAGTAGCTACACCCTAGGAACAGCTTCGACTGGCCAGTTAAACCAGGTGAGGATAACCTTTGGGTCTCAAACTCTTGGTGAGTTAGGGACTTCCACTGAACAGAAATCTGCTCTGGCAGATTGAGCAGACTAGACCAATAGTGGATCCAATGGTCAAGAAGGAGGTTTCTGCGTGTGCTGCAGAGGGAAGTGATGGGCAAATGGGGCTTGTCAGACTGGGAAGGTAGCCCATCTAGCAGAAGGAAAACTCTGAACATAAACCTGTGCTGCCTTGTGGGATATCTTCAAGAGAATAAAGTAAACCCAACACAAATCCAGAGTGGAGTCCTAAGATAGTTGAATAGTTCCTTGTACACATCTTTCTGGCAACTCCTGCAGCCAAGCTGGTGCCAAACATATTGTTCTGCTTTCCTCTGGACCACATCAGCAAGGCTGAGACAGGGGTCTTGTTGTCTGAGTAGCCCAGGACCTCCATATACACAGCCCAGGCTTGCGCCCCAGTGAAGTCACTTTGGTGCTTCTAATGCAGAGATTTGACATCACCTCCGGATGTGCACTCTCATTGTCTCAAGACAGACAGATGCCAACAACAATACTAGGCCATTCAAAGAGCTAACAACCTATATTTCCTATGTTTTCAAATGCTGCATATATCTCTATTTTAAACTCTGCTGTGGGCTTTTAGGGCTATTGAATGAGTCATGCCCCGAGCACTTTTTGAATTCAGACAGTCAGTCATTTTTCTTTTGCAGTTTCCCACACATGTAGGACTTCAGAATTAACTATTATTCCCCAGTTATTTCCCAATACGTCTTTCTGGGGAGCAGAAGAAGAATAGTACACTAAGAGTAGCAGCATCCACAGTACTTAATGACAACAGCAAATCTCTAAAGAATAGAATCATGATGTGGGGGGGGGGGGCTAATCTCAATTTGGAACTGAACCAGCACTTAAGAGTATAATCAGAGAACTCCCAACAAATATTCATTTATCCTGTGAGTTGGATAAAACATGTCTGGCCACAAAGTCCTTCATTAACAATAAGTAGGTGCCCATAGTGCTAGTGCAATTGTCATTCATACATCATAGAAGTTGTAACAGTTGTACTTCCTGGGTCAAGAACTAAAGTTTCCCAGCAATTTCTATCAGCTATTTGTGTATGCCAGTAAGCAATGATTTCCCAATGATGCGAGTATTTCCTGAGACAATCCAACCTTATGTGAATTCTCTCCATCCTTCACATCCCAGTTGAGTTACTACTGTTATCAAAGCTAATGTAAAACATGGCTAGCTTCAGGCAGTGTTATGAAACTAACTTCAAGCAGCAGTTAAAAATTAAGCATGGTAAGCATTAGCACTGGTGCAGATGTTATGCTGCACTATAGTTTACACTGACAGCAATGTTATTTGGGGGCAGAAGCCAATGGGAGAGCAAATGGTTTTTAGGTATAAAGTTCCAAGCTTAGTCCTTCATATCGCTAGTTAAGAAATTACCGTATCTCCAGAAGTAGGTCTGGGGAAGACTTCTGGTTGAGAGAACTCCTCCAGGATAAATAAGCAGCACTGGGTTACATAGTATTAGCTGAACTTACTTTAATGGACTTCAGCATATGCTGGCTGGCGCGTATGGCAGCTGTGGTCCAAAACATTGGATGGTACCAGGTAGCTGAAGGCTGCACTAGGTTAGTGCCTTACAGGTTATGCCCAACAGGCACAAACCACCACTTACGGTAATTACTGGCAGTATAAAATACTGAGACTGAATACTCCAAAACTTAAAGCAGACTCTTATTTTGAGAAGGAAGGAAACACTGACCATGATCATGAATTATGGCTTTAAAATGCAAGGGGAAATATGTAAAATGTGGCATTTAAAAACTGAAACTGAAAATATAACACAATCACTGACTAATTGCAATAACTTCCATTTGATCTTGATATGCTCCAAATTAACAGCTTCAGCACGTCAATCAAAATACCTCAACATTATTTTCATGATTAGATGATCCGCGAAAGAAATTTATTGCTTTGCATGTCCCCGTCACCACAGAAATAAAACACCCAAGTCAATTTGTGTGCTGTAATCGTTGAACAACAAGGCTCAACTCCCTCAAGAGTTCTTGCATACCATGTCCAAAACAATTAGCAACTTCACAATGCTCTGTTCAGAGCTGCTGTACTGAAGAAAAGGTCACCTGAAATGACTTCAGTTGAATGAATGAAGCTGCTCAAGTATGTAATTTGCAATAAAAATGCAATGGGTGATAAACTACATAGGTGACTTCTTTGCCTCAAATTCAAACCTAGCATCGGTGAACAGTAAGTGACATGCCATCATTTGTTTCCAGGAATTTTGTAAACACCGCCCCCCTCCCCAGCTCACCTGAAATGAAGCCCAGGTATATTTTCAGCTCTTGCTAGCTTTGCCTCCTGTATGTCTTTCTAGACAGGCCATTCTATGATCCTATGTGTCCAACTCCAACTTTAAGAACACAGTCCTCTATTTGAAGATATTTGAGAGGAGTCCTCTGCTTGATGGGGTTTGGCTATCTGGAGAGCTGTCCAGACAAAGTCTGGTTTAAAAATGAAGGGAGAGCAACAGGGGCCTTAAAGTTGCCTATCTAGGCATCTGACTAAGCAGGCGCACAGGTCAGCTGCTCACAACCTTCCCCACTAAGGTGAAATGTACTGTATTTGTATTCAAAATATATACATTGTTTCTAAATTTGCATCTATAAACCTGTTAGCATATGCATATTTTATGCAAATCTGTGTCTTCTTTGTCTCCTTTTTTGTGATGTACAAGTGGCCACCCTAATCCATTCTCATTCTAAGTCTGTCCATAGAAACAAGAAGCCAAGAAATGTACCCAAAATGGATATGGCACCTCCACTAGCTGAAGTTCGGAAGACAAATAGGTGAAGACACAGTAATTTCTAATGGGGAGGGAACTGAAAATTGTGTTCTTTGCTTTGCAAAGAAGAACTGGCAGCCAGTATTTCCAAATGTTAGCTGATGACAGAACATAAAGGACCAGCCATAAATTTTGGAATGTGAAGATTAAAAAGCCATTATGAGAGAGTCACACAACAGATTTTTCTATTACAAGTTAAAAGTTTCTACAGTAATCTCAGTTCAGAATTGCACATGGTTCCCAGTCAGGTGACTGAAGGTATTGGCTTCACAGCCCCAATGTGCTCAGCAAACACATCCTTACTCTTGTCCTGATGCATGATGATGGAGCAGCCCAATGTGCAACGCTCTCATTCCCAAAACTAAATTCCATCAGAATCTTGAAATGATTGCAAAGCCACCTTGCAACAGGCTAAAAGTATTGTGCATCTGAAACCAATAACAGCTGCCTGTCACTTATCACACTCCAAGTAAAATGAATATGTTGCTGCACAGATTCACCCTGGCCCCAAAACCCTTCTTGGAAAATGGACATTTTGAATTTTTGATGCCATTTGGGTTTTTTGGGGGGGGGGAAAGGTGTGGGGAGAACATGCAACAGTACTAGGTGTGCAGGCACATAGAGAAGGAACATTGAAGACAGAGAGCATTCCACTCAGCGTTAACATTTGTTGGAAGAAAAAGGAGAAGGGAAAAACAAAACGAAAGTGAAATGAGTAGTTGATTCATGGAACACACAGAAAACAGTCTGTGCAAGTTATGGTATTAGTGTGATCTTACCAGAATATTTTTCAGGTTAAAAGAAAAGCAAATAACATGATCAGAAAATATATACAGTGGTACCTCGGGTTAAGTACTTAATTTGTTCCGGAGGTCCGTTCTT